GCCAAGTGGTTTCCATCTGCTCCCCCCACACCCCACACCCGTACCAAGGCTGTTTCCACTGTCCGCCGGCCTCGCACCGCGAAGCACCAGCCCACGTGTCCGCATGGAGCGCGCTCCGCCTCACCGCACCGGGCCGGCCTCGGAGCCCCCCGCCAGCGGGCAGCGCGGGCAGCGCCGCACTGGAGCGTCATCGCCCGGCGGGTGGGGGTCCAGGGCCCTGCCGAGAAAGGCCGCGGAGCACGGCGGGCGCCCGCGGAGTGGGAGGCGCCGCCCGGCCCTGCCAGAGCCCGGCGTCCTCCGCCCGTGCACCTGCCGCGCCCCGCAGGAGGCGGCCCGGGCCCGGCACGGCCGGCGGCGATAGGGCTGCGCCTCGCACCGCCCCTCGGGGGCCCGGCAGCCGCCGGCCTCCTGCAAGCGGCGCCCCCGGAGAGTGGGCGCCCGGCCCGGCCCGGCCCGGCCCGGCGCACAGAGCTGCGCCCGCAGCACACGCCCGAAGCGGGGACGCCCGGGCGAGCGGGCGGGCGAGGGGCTGCGGCGGCCGGTCCCACCTGTCCTGCCGGGCACGCGGGGCTCGTCCGTGTCTCACCTGCTCGGGGCCAGCTGCCTCCAGCGTCGCCCACGAGCCCTCTCGGCGCAGGGACGGCACCGGGGCGGCGGTGGAAGGGAAGTGCCCTCAGCACCGTACCCGCCAGCCCGGCCCTCGCCGGTGCCGGTGCCGCTCCCGCCGCCGCCGAGGACGAGGCCCAGCCCGGCGGGGACCGCGGGGCGGGGCTGAGGCGCGCGGATTGACGCGCGCGCCAGCCAACTGCCGCCCCGCGCGGGAGCGCGCGCGCCAATGGGCGCGGGCGGGGCGGGAGCGCGCGAGCGCAGGTGTCGCTGCGCCGGCCTTGGCCACACCCGCCCCGCCCGCGCTCCTGGGCGCCCTCTGGCGGCCTCGCCTGCGGCTTTCCGGGCCCGGCCGGGCCGCGGGGCCGGGGCAGGGTCGGGGGAGCGGGGCCGGACCCCGCACGGCCCGGGTGTCCCGCAGACCACCACGCCCGCACTCCCTCCCTCCTGAGTCCCAGCCCCTAGGGCAGGGTCAGAGAAGTGCCGTCCATCCGCTCCCCTCGCGGCAGCACCGGCTGTGCCTTGCCCTTCCTATCGACGAAGCTCTGGGAACCCCCACACCTAATCCGGGCCCGGGTTGAGGTCCGGACGTTGATGCTCCAGGCCCCGGCAGTGAAATGACAGAATAGTACGTGTTCTTCCAAGGCCATTAAACAGAGCTTTGTGGGCCTCTTGAAGATACTTTATTGATACTTGAAGATGCGAGGCGAAAGAAAGGTGCGCTTTTCGCTGATTGACAGCTTCTCTAAAAGCCCCGTTCAGGGTACAGTGTGCTCTTGGCTCTGTGCACTGGTACTACGTGCAGGGCTGAATCCAGCCCCTCACACCGGGCTCCCGTTTTGCACGTTAGAGGACAAAAGCCAAGTGAGGGTACCCGAAGGAAGCTCCGAGATACCGCACGATGCCCAGATTACATTGAGAAGGCATCTTTCCAGTCTCCTGCTTGCTAAAGGTTTTCAATCGCTATCAAAGCCAGAGCACTTTAAACATCTTCAGACATCCCAATTAAACTTGTATGAGCTTGCTTTTCAAAGCAGAAAGATTCGAGAATAAACTATAAAAATTAACAAAGATTTGAGATTTGCTTGTGAGTACTGATACAACTCCAATAACCACATCAAAGCCAAAAGCACTAAATGGGAAGGTATTTTCCCTACATTTCCCTCCCCCTCAGAGAGGCTGAAGAATTAAAATTGATGTCATGTGAATCACTAATCATTTAATACACTATTCTTATTTGAGTTTGTCCTACTAAGTACTGCCACTACTTTCACACTACACACACTTTCCTCTAAAACTTCCAGCATCAGCTCCCACTAAAGCAAGAGTAAGGTATTCTCTGGCAAAATGTTTTCCTCTCTGTCTCACTGTGCCAGGACATTAAAACAGCAGTTCATGGACTACAGTCCTCTTTAAAAAATATACATTAGTTAGTCATATTTCTACAAGAATTCAGGAAAAAACAGTCTGAACACTAGGTACTTCCTATCTGAATGATTATGAGATTCCAAGTCAGAATTTCCAAACTGATGCTTAAAGCACTGTAAAATGATGATGTCTTCTGCCCAGACAGGTCTCATGCAGCACAGCAGAACAATCTCTGAAATCCTGGGTGTAAACCCTGCTTTGCTGAGAATGGAATTGCTCAGCACCTGCTCCTCTTGAAGTTGTCAAAATAAACTCTGGAAGCCTTTTTTTGTCGTTGTTTTTGTTGGGTTTTGTTTGTTTGTTTGTTTGTTTTTGTTTGGTTTGGGGTTTTTTGTTTGGTTTTTTGTTGTTGTTTTGGTTTGGTTTGGGGGTTCTTTTGTTGTTTTTTGTTTTTTGTTCCTGTTTTAGGTTTCAGTAATGTACAGCACCTTAAGTAACTTATATTAAAAAATTGGCCAGCACCCTCTGGTGGAAAAAAACACATGGACAAGTAACGTTACTTTAGACAACGTCATTAGCCATATAATTTCGCAAAATTTTAATGAAAAGTTTCTGTCTATAGTTCAACTGACTTTTGATTTAACATTCAATTTAAATTTTTCCTAAACTAATGCACAATACAATTGCAGTATGCTATTTCATGTTATTCATGAAATGTAGCATCCATGGGATCAGGCTTCATTTTTCCTGCATGGTTATTGCAGAAAGAGAATAAATTCAGTATGTCATGTTCACTGGCTATTCCAGCTTCCCTTCAAGTTGTTTTCAAGAAGTCTGCATTATGAAAAGTTAAACAGTACGGCTGCATGTACACAACAATCAGGTAAACAGAACTGGGGTTTTTTTAACCTAAACAAACTTTTTTTCCTTAGCCTTCTTAACAAAACTTCTGCATGAAATCTTTTTCTTCTATCTCCTGCTTTGCTGAGAATGGTATTTTATAACATTTTTTAAACAAGTGTCCAATCTCTGAGTCAGTTTTTCCCTTGATGCTGAATTCAGATGTGCCAGCAAAGATGAGAGAAGTTGAGGTATTTCAGAGCATTCATAAAATTAGGAAGATTTGGTTGGAAGGGACTTAAAAATTCACCTCTTTCCACTCCCTGCCATGGGCAGGGACACCTTCTACTATCTCAGGTTGCCCCAAGTCACATCCAAACTGGTCTTGAACACTTCCAGGGATGGGGCAGCCACAGCTTCTCCAGGCAATCTGTGCCAGGCCCTCCCCAGCCTCACAGGGAAGAATTTCTTCCCAATATCCCCATCTAGCCCTGCCCTCTGGGAGTGGGAAGGCATTCTCCCTTGTCCTGTCCCTCCAGGGCCTTGTCCAAAGTTCCTCTCCAGCTCTTTTCGAGCCCCTGTAGGTACTGGAAGGAGCTCTAGGGTCTCCCTAGAGCCTTCTCTACTCCAGGCTGAACACCCCCAGCTATCCCAGCCCCTATCCAGAGCAGAGGGGCTCCAGCCCCCTGATCATCTCTGTGGCCTGGATGCAGTGCTCCAGGTGGGGGGTCTCACGAGAATTACTTTAGTTTATGCAATAGTTCTTTTATTGGATATCTCTGCTGAAATAACCTTTCTACATTATTAGGGAGCAAGCAGATAAGTTGAAGTTTAACCACACATACTGTACTATGACACTGTAATTATTGCCATGGATCGCAACTTTAAACAAATACGAACTACCCAAGGTCAATGGTGTATCCCTAGACAGAACTAGATAAAGTTGAAATCCCATGCAACAAAAATGCATCATAAGGTTAGCTAGAAAGAAAGGGAGTTAAAAGAAAAACTGAATAATTTCTAAGTGTTAAGGGCAAAGGATATCAGAATTATTCTATTAGTTGGAGACATTTTTAAAATCTTGAAATAATCTGATACCCACCACCATAATTTCCCTTATTTCCACATCTTCATGTGGACAAAACTAGCAAAGAAGGGGTTCTTTGAAACTGCCAATCAGTTTGCACACACAAGGGACTGAACGCAGTGGAACTCCTTGTCTTTGTACCAGATTTTCCTCACTATACAAGGAGAGAAATCAATCTTCAGAAAGACTAGTCAGACTCATTAAACCTACAATAATCTTGTTGCTTTGCTGATATCCCTTCATTGTTTCCCCAAGTTTTTCTCTTCCAAAAGCAGTTGTGTGTCTTCCACTTTCACGTGTTTTTCCATTAATCCTCAACATGTCTGTTTTCTTACCATCACGTCTCCCTTATACCTAGCCAGGGTCACTGTCCTTTGTCTACTTTGTTTTCCAACAAGCACCTCTGTAGCTTCTGTGATACTGCCTCATACTGATGAACCTCACAAAATTGCCTCAAAACATCCTCCTTCAGAACCCTCCTTTGTTTTAATGACAGGAAAGAGTTCACTATGGGTACTCTTTTCAAAACCCTTTAATCTTTTCCTCTCCTGCCTACATCTGTTGTCGTCTGTTTTACACATACAAGCCTTCTGACGAAGTCATACCAGAACGTGTGTTTTGAACAAGGGTCTCATTTATAGTTTCAGCACAGTACAGATGGACATTTTCTCAGAGCTCTGCCTTCGTAAGCTTTCTGTTGCATCCCATCATAGAGAAGATCTTCCCTGATACTACTTCACCCTTTTTTCTGATGCCAGAACTTCAGTTATTTGGGAGAAAGGGAGATCTCTTGTGCCCACTCACAGTTATTATACACATAGTTCTTATGTAATAAGAAAATAAGCTCAGTTTGATGGTGGATGTAGAAGCATGAGTCTTCATAAAAGTACAAAACTCAAACATCATCCATTCAGAACTAAACAATTAATAACTGGCAAAAAAGAGAAACTTCAAGAGTAGTTTGTCTCTTAACAATTTTGGACTCCTAGTTGGTACATGAGTATTAAAATGCAACTTTTTAATCACACCTCAGGAATAGCATCTAAAATACAAGCCCCTTAGTGATTAAGTAACCAAATGTAGACACCGACACCACAGATTTGCTCTAGAAGCATTTTAATTTACAAACAGCAATTCCGATTGACTTTATACCATAAAAAAAGCAATTTACAAGCAAGAAACAAATTCATCAGAACAAAATAAAGCAGCACGGAAATATTCATGTCACAAATCTAAAACCAAAGTGAATACAAGAGTAAAATATCATTTGAATAAATATTTTAAAGTTCATGCTATAAAATAATTCTTAATGGCAAAGTTACTAGATGTTACAGCATCAGCTTAGCTAGCTTCATTTACTTCACGTGGCAATGAAGTGCGAGGTGTGAGGTTCCCGGTTTATATTGCAAGATAATGACACCAAGTCAAGTCATTCAAACTGTTCAATTATTTATCATCAAAAACAACCATACAAATAAAAGTTTTTTAAAAATACAATTTTTCAGTCAGAAACAAATACTGTTAAAATCGTGCAAGAGCTCTACCTCTACCCAGACCTATAACCAGAGGCTCGCAGTCCGAGTCCAAAGGCTGAATCCCTGTGGGAATGAGAGTCAGCAGTTCTGGATCTGCCATGGCAGGAGTGAGCTACAGGAGTGAGAGGCGAACCTGCTCAGTCAGAGATACGTGGCTTCACATCCCCTGAAGAAATACAGGAACACATGTCCCAGGCTTACTTGTTTGTTTAGCTTTTTTTTTTTAAATGTAAACTTGAGTAACTTAAGTTAATGCTGTCACAGGGATGTGCAAGTACTATTAAATCTACAATATTAAATACAGCTATTCTGGCACTTGTTAAAATACATGTAAAATGCACAGAGATTATAAACTTTGAACATTTTGAATGACTTTACTAAACTTCCAATTCAATCACTGAGTATTATGAAATTTACAATTCATGAAATAAAGAGATTCATATAAAGAATTTACATAATTCCCCAAATACTTTCAAATATAAAATTTAATAAATAACCCTGACCAGTCAAAAAGCACCATTCAAGGGTAAAATTCCCTTGGAAAATAGATTAGGTGTTGCATATTTGAGTCCCTTTCAATGGTTTCATGTGAAACCTGTTTAGAAAAATGACAATAAAAGAATCACAGTAAACTAATACAAAAATTTAAATAATATATATATTTAAAGGTAAAGCTCATTCAATATTTTCCCAGCCCTTGATTTTATTCCTATTGTTCTTCCCATAATTCAACCTAAACATATTAAGAGGCCTCATTGCTTTGTCTAAAAGTAAACCAAAAGCTTCAGCATAAACCATGAATTTATGCTGGGGAAGACTGCATTAAAACTCTCAATTTAGGCCTACAGTCTACCCTGCTGACAGTGAACTGACAGTATCCTTTATGCTACGGAAAGATTTCACACCAAGAAAGCAGAGCCAATCTTGAGGCCTCAGTGACCAAAATGAACTTGTCATATACTGTAAGTATTTACAAAGCTATTTTCTAAATGTATTTACAAGCTTAAAAGAAATAATCTGGAAGATAATAAGAAAGAAAATTAAAATAACAGTTTATAACCACAGACATTAGCAAAGGTATAAAATCCTTTATTTTCACAGTTTGTCAAAATAGGTTAAGCATCTAGAAGAAAGGACACTGTCACTGCTTTCACATTTGTCTAGAATTAAAAAGGTAGATTAAGAAGAGACTCAATTATGAACCAGCCTATATAATTTCACCATTTATTTTGCTGTCAAATATTTCTTCACATATTTTATTGACTTCTGCATTTATTGTAAATGAAATGTGTAACAGCTCTTTGCTGAGAACTGGACAGACACGAGACATAGTACAGTGTTTCCATGGTTGCTAAAGTATCCCAGCCTCCTGCTCGCTGGGCTGGTGACATGAATTCATCAGGTCACGCCTCGTGTCTGTGACAGTGTTGATCCTGGCACCCCGTTGAGTGACAAGGCACAATGGAATTGCTGCTGCCAGGGGTGCTGTTGGTGTTCAGCAGAGCCCGGGGGGCGGGCAGAGCTGGGCTATGGCTTGGGAATCAGGAACGCTGCCCCCAGGGAGGGAACGGCCACAAGCAGGGCAAGCAGGACCTGCATGTTGCTGGATCATGGGCTTGTATAGAAACGAATCATTTCCTGCCCCTTAACAGTCCCCTTACAATGGTTTGAACCTGAACCTGTACAATCAACGTGATGGTTTTTTGTTTGCTTTCGTCTGAGACAATTTTGGATAAGTCACTCTTTGGTAAACTCAAACCATTTTAATACATTTACAAATACAAAGAACTAGATTTAAATAATGTTAAGATTGTGACACAGAGAAATTCAAGAAATATAAAATTTGTACCCATATCCTGCTATTCTCAACTCATTCTTCCAGGGAAAAAGTCACACCAAAGGCACCACAGCACAGGTTCAAGATAAAGGGTTAGGAATAACTGTACATTTCTTGGATTTTGCATGTCTCAAACTTAATTTATCAAAACTTACTTTTTTTTTTTTTTTTTTTTTTTTTTTTAACATTTAATTGCTTAAAACATACACTTAGGGAAAAAACTATATCAGAAACAGCAACATGTTGTTAGGTGGGTAAACATACAGACTACCTGCCCTAGACACAGACTATCCCTTCCCTTACTGGAAACAAAAGTTTTGTTGCTTCAAGGAGAGAAACATCTCCCACCCTCTGCCTCTTTATTTAGGCAGTTTTGGGACAAAGAGGCAAATGATGTACCCAATTTAACTGAAACTGCTCCAGTGGAGCAGGTGGGGGTTATACTGTAAATCCACGTTTTATGAAATTAATTCTTATTGCAGACTGCCACAATATTAAGAACTAGTGTATTTAATAAAGCTACTGCACAAATATGCCCTAACTTCACAGGGGCGAAAAAGCTGTACAACATAGCAAACCTACCTTTTTGTTTTCCTGTAATTTAGAAAAGCTTTTATTTTCTAAATTTCAGGAGTTAAACAGCGTGTTCACAGACGTATTTTCAATATCAGCTAAACAAACATAAGACCCAATAATACAAAACCTGTATTTTAAAGAATTATGTGATTAATTTAACGATTAATTCTGTTCATCAGGTAGAATTCAGGTAGAATGTTACACAGTAGTGTTTGCCAGTCCATGCTTTTGAGGTCTCTTAAGCTATTGATTTTTTTGTGGTATTTTTTGGGGGTTTATTGTTGTTGTTTGTTTGTTATTGGTTTTGGGGTTTTTTTAGGGGGTGGTTTGTGTAGGGTGGGGGCTTTTGTTTGTTTATTGTTAGGGAATTTTTTTTTTTTACTTAACTGTTACTATTATGTTTCACATTTTATATATTATACTGACCTAAATGATGAAGTTAGCACCATTTTAAAAACATATATTTGGTGAAACAAAAAGATTTAGAGTATTTTTAAAGTTGTTGGTAGCTCCTTTATGCAGAAAACAACCACTGAAAATAGCAGAGAAGCCATAGCAACTCTGTAATACTCACACATGAAATAACAGACATATTGCTCAATATTCCCATAGAGTATTTGTTTTTTTTATACAAAAAAAGTACAAATTCCAAGTGCTGGCATATCACTTGGAGCTTTAAGTAGGAAGTCAACGTGCACCTGAAAACGGTTCTCTGTGAAGAGACCTATTAAAATACTGCTTGGAAATACTGTGGTAGAAACTACATCTCTCTCTGGTTTTAACCAACCATGAAGAGTGATGAAGTTAAATTTAATTACCTGGTATGGTTCTACAGTACGAAATGAAGGTAGATTCTGAGGCCAGCCAAAACACATTTAAAACCACAATGCTACTTTTAGGTTTGCTAATATTTTTTTTATATATATATATATATATATAGATATATCTATCTCTATATATATAAAAAGGTCAGCACCACAGGTTGTCCAGCTTGCATTCTAGACAACTAACAAAACCCCTCAACAGTTTAACCATAATTTAATAGATTTATGGCATTTGGTTTACATATGTTATAAAGCAAAGCTATTAAAACAAGGTAATTCACTTTGCTCACTTTTGCACACAAAGTAATAGTTCAATAAAATGAAAACCAAACAACATTCATTTAAAACCAAAACCATCCTCCCAAAGTCCAAAGTCCTAAACCCTAAGCAGAGAGGAGTCCTAGCAGTTGAAAGAGTGGTATATGGTATCAGCCTTGACATACTTTTACATTCACCTCAACCAGAATAGGAAAAGTGAAAACATTTTATATATATAAAGCAGATTTATATATATAAACAGACTCACTACCAAAACCAGTTAGTAAGAATAGATTTCATTGTGACACAAGAAGAATCAAAGCTATGATACTCTCTCTCCCCACTGCTGTGTAACTCATTACCAGCAAGAGGATTTCAGAAAATAAGGGAACTTACAGCTTCTTGGAGCATCCAGCAGAGCTGCCAATCTTATTCTAATATCTTTCTCCACTGGAGTTTGTGTCTCGCCAGATCAATCAACAGGGACACTTCAGCAGACTCTTCCTATCTTTTCCCCAGCACAGTCTTTATGTTCTGAGCATCTCCAAAAGTAAAAAACAAACCCCAAACAACTCAGCCTCCTTCAAAAACAAAGAATACTTGTGTAGTCCTCTCCAGAAACCATTTCTAACTGATTTCCAGAAGGTCAGGAAAATTAAAAGGCTGTTACACTTGTACTGAAGATTACTAAAAGAATAAAATACTTTAAAAATACACTAGTAGTGTGCTTGTCTGTGTTGCACTTAAAATGTAGTATTTTAATCAGATGTGTTAGACATTGCATGAATTTCCATACTAGAATCCATGGCTTCAGAAGCTGAAGCATCATTATCTACTTTCTGTTCCACAAATGCTTCTGTTCTGTCTGGAGACTCGACCCTGTTTCTCACTTCTGTTACCCCAGGGTGATTTTTTCGCAAGTGCTGGTTTAGTGTACCCTGGAAAGGAAAGCATTTGCCACAGATCTCACAGCGAAAGGGTTTGTCATCTGTGTGACCACGAATATGATACTCAAGTTGGTCCTTACGGGTGTATTTCTTTCCACAAAACTTGCACACAAAAGGAGTTATTCCCATGTGCAATCGCATGTGTCGATCAAGGCTCCCTTTCTGGTTGAAAGACTTCCCACAGTAAATACAAATTAGCCTTTCATTGTATGGATACCAGTGACCTCTTGCATTTCTTTCCTGTGGACTATTTTCATATCCTGGATTACTCACCATGGATTCACTGTCAGCCCCTTGCACCAAGCCCTGGACATCACTATGCAAGTGACCTGTAGGTACTCGTTTTTGGCGTGCACGACCCCCTCTGAAACAGCTCAGCATTGACCTTGAAGGACTTGTATTGCTCAGGCTCCCAAAGGTTTCTGACACACCTGTAGCCTGGGATGAGGCATGGGTAAATGAATAAACATGTTGTAAGACAGACCCATAGGAACCAACATTTACTGCCACCACCTGCTCTCCGTCCACCATTTCAGTGTGATATCCATCATCCCCGAGGGAAGAGCTGTCAGAGCAGCTTGGCCTGTCAGACTTCTCCATTTTAACTTTCACCTCTGCAATCTGACTTTCCCTTACTATCAGGTCTCCTTGCTCATGATCACCTTCAATCTGAATCTCATATTCAGAGATACTCCCACTGCTCCCTCGGTCTGAATGTCCTTCTTCTTGCAGACGACTCCGTGGAGTTTTGCCTGGAGTAGTTTCCATCCGCAGATCGCTGCCTGCTGTTGGCTGTCGCACCTGAGAGCAATAGGGAGGAGAGATCTCAATAGGGTTGGCAAAGTAGCTGCTGTCTTTAACGCCATTGCGATTCTCTGAATTTTCTTCAGCACCAACAGTGACAGAATCAACATCGCCAACAGTGATCTTTGAATGGATACTCTCCAGGATCTGCGTGCACTTGTCAATGACGCACTGCATCTGCAGGAAGCTGGCTGCAGTCAGAAAGCTGACAACGTCCTTCAGCTGCAAAGACATCCTTCCAGTGTAACAGAAAGAAAGCAACTGTTCAAAAACATTGGGATTTTTAATTACTGATATGGATAAGCCACTCATGGTGCTCAGTGCTGAATGGTCACGGAAATATGGAGAGCTGGCAGCTAACACAGCCTTGTGGGCGCGGAACGGTTGCCCCTGGATGTGCACAATTATGTCACAGAGCTTCCCTTGCAAGCGGAGTTCGTTTAGCTGGCTCAGAACAGTGTTGCTGTACTCTGGCACATCAAACTGAATGAAACTGCTGCTGTCCATTTCTACTGATGTAAAGAGTAATCTGAAAGAAAAATACAAAGATTTACAACTGAGAATAAATATGGAGTTTTCCATTTAAAAAATGCTTGCAAATGTTTAAGTTACATCACCTCACCGATCTGTTAAAAGTGCAATACAACAAAACAGTAAGCATAGATACTTGATATAATAAAGAAAGTAGAGTCTTAATCTATGCATTTCTTGCATTTCTATAATGTGAATTATTCCTCTGTGACATTCACAATGGAATTGCTCAGAATACATGACAGGCTCCCTAGGACAGTCTGTGTCCTCAAAGAAACTATACAATTCTACTCCCTGGCAAGAACTGCAGAATGATACCTCCACCCTTCCAAAAGAATACCAGTTTTATAGCCATTAAGCAAGGTTAACACTTCAGAACCCTGAGGAGGTGCACAAGCCAGACACTACAGTGATACTTGCAAGGAACTGCATTGTTAAATTGCCCAAGAATTATTGTTGGAAGGTACTTCATGAAGTTTGAAAAACCTGCCAAAGAAATGCCCCAGGCACGTGTGTGTGTGTGTGCATTTGAAAGAAAAGTGTTTGAGCCACCCATGGACTTTCAATTTTTAAAAAAATTTTCTTTTGTGATTTAATTATTTTTTTTAATAAACCACAATGTGAAGCTCATCCCATGTGACAGTGATTTCCTATGTAGAATGATTTGACATTTAAATTCTAACCTAAATTAAAAGCCATGGGTACTCAACCACCAGGAAAGGACATTCCAAGAGGCTTTAAAGAAATGTACAGAATTCCAAACAAGAGCTAAAGAAAAGCACTTTTCACAGAGTACTATCGTAGAAAGCACATACATTTGTCACTCTGAGAGTGTCTATCCGCAGCATCATCTTACATTTCCAAGACACTAATCAAGTGCCCAAGAATCTTCAGACTTTTATTGCTATTCTTGTTCTTATTAATGCAGAAGTATAAACACACAATATTGCCACCATACCTGCTTTTCCAATTGAACAAAGAGATCTCAACATCATCCATTGACTTCAGATGCAGGAAGCATGTCCAATGTATCACAATATACTAGTGGATTTTTTTTTCTATTATGCTACATGCTGTAATGGGACATATGAACAATTTAAATCAAATTATGAAAATTCAGGTATTCTAAAAACAAAATCAACAGGTAGAAATACGATAAAAAGCCTGAAAGGAAGAAGTGGAGCTCTGTCAGCTGACTTTCACTTAAAACTAACATTCATAATTTTCACAAATGGAACTTCTTTTCAGCAAACACAAGAGAGCCAGCTTCCTGACTGGACACTATCTCCAGGTAATAAATACCTATTTAGAAAACTGGAAAAACCTCTCACAGAGCATTCAAAATCAAGTTATTGGAATCGCTAAACATGTTCTCTAAGTTATCAGTGTCATTAATGAAAATGGGTAAGCCAGCCTTCATTTGAGCTTTTATAGTTGTGATGTAAAAGAAGGGGGAAAGACATTTTTCCCACCTGTTATATCTGAGGTGGGAAATAAGGACTGCAAGATGTTTACCAGAAGTGATGTGATCACAGCGATCCATTCAGAGATGGCTTGGGCAGGACAGTTCTTTTATTCAGCAAACAAAGCTATAAAACGATTCAGAGTTGCAAGCTGATTTAAGTCAGAAATCAAACAGTACAACACACGACCAACCCCAGTCCAACAGTGAGGCAGTTACATGGCAAGATTAACCTTGTTATTCTGAGCATCCCTGCATGCTGTACAGAGAACCACTATCCCAGTCCCATAGGGAAGACAGGAGTCCCAGCAGTTGGATGCCTGTTTGTCACCTTCACTGGTGTCTGACTGGGCAGCAGGCTTCTTACAAACCCAACAGAGCTCACTACCTTTAATTTGTGGGGCTTATTAGCTACACACAGATGCAACACCAGCCACTCCTGATTAATCATTCATGATTCTCCATGCTAAGTGGAGGAAGAACTTTTGCTGACCTGAAGTGACATGAATTGACAAATTACCTGGGTTGAGGACTGTGTACAAACTAAAAGACCAGTCCCCAGCAGCAATAATTTGTCATTCCTGTCTAGGATGTACAGAAAGCTTGTCTCATACAGATAGTGGGCTTCTTCCTTGTCCCATACTTCTGTAAGGGCTATTGCTTAGCAAAATCAAGAACAACTTACTCCTAGAGAAAATATTAAAATGCAAATTGTCACCACTAGCACTGGTCCAGACAGAAGGAATGAACTAAGGATAGGCACCTGAGTAGAAAAAAGATGCACATTTCATGCTTTACCATGGAGAAAAAAAAAATGTCCTTTTGATCATGGCATCTTGGCATCTCTAAATGAATTCACAGTCCTGGGACACAGCCACACATTGAAAATGGACTGTAAATACACACCAGAGAAAGTGTGAGAACCAGGAGGGAAGGACACCAAGGAGAAATGGAACCAGGGTGATACCTGCACATTATCACTGTTAGAACATTCCCTTAACTCCATATGCATATACATATCTACAAGTAATTCCTTGTTCTCAGGGTTGTTTCATCTTTCTTTTGGGAAAAAAGCAGCTTATTTTGCTAAAGATGCTAGGAGTAAACAGCACGAATGCTGGCAGTGAGTGCAGAGGATGACGGAGTTAACAGTCTGTAAGTCTGGCTGCCAGTGCAGCAGAAAAGCAGTAAAAACCGGCAACAGGGATCCAGGGAACATACAGTGTTGCTTTGAAAGCAACCAAACAGGTCCAGTACACAAAAATAAGCCCCAAAGCAGTGGACAACAAGGTTCTATATTCACCTGCTTTTAAAAAACAAAGTGAACAAGCAACAGGACGCACTTGTGACTACTTTTCCACCTCAGTTTATTCCTTCACACGCTTCCTGTGACCTTGAAAACATCTGGGGTAGAAAGCTGGGGTTAAATGACAAGAATTTTGAATTGCAACAGCACTTGACAGAAGGGAACCCTACTTCTGCTTTCAGCCACAACCTTATATCTCCAGCTGGAGACTCTGGAACTGATCAGGTTGCTGATAGACACCCCATTCAGGAACAGGCAGGACTGTAGCAGGAACAGCACTGAGGCTGCAGTAATTTTGCCAGGGTTAGTATCAGGGCACCCCACCTTCCTTCCATCAATTAGGGAAAGCAAGACCTGGGGAAAAACCTGGGTGTTACACACGTCAGAGAAACAGGCACCGCTAGCCATGTTTTACTGGTGAATAATGGCCAGAAGAAGAATGATCTTATTCACAGAGATCCTGAATGAAAATAAAAGTAATCTATAGATTATATTCCCATACACAAGAAGGTTTTATTTTATTTGTATACAGGATCAAGTTAAAAGCTCCATAATAAAATTCTAGTAACATAACCAAAATAATGTTCAGCAGGTACTGTACCATATCAATGCTCAATCATTCATCAGTGCTGGCAGGCCAGTAGCTCTTACAAGCCAATGTGATTTATGACTGAAACATTTCTGAAACAGTCCTGGAAGATCACTACAGTTTGAAAAGACTAATAAGAACCCCCCCGATTTTTTAACAGCTTCCTTCAAGTTGAAACATCTCCCTAATCTCTTCCCTTCAGGGGTGAGGCATGTAGCATTAAACTGAAGCAGAAAGGCACTGTAAAGCACAAATTAACTTTGGATGCACCCACTGTGTACTCTAAAGAAAAAAATTATCTCTGCAGTTAACCAGACAGTCATAATGAAACTTACACACATAATAATTCTTTACAGAATTAGCACAGGTGAAGAAAAAAAAAATTAATGCCCAGTCAGAAGTCTTGTTCAGTACCTTCCATAATATCTCGGCACATGCAGAGGGAACCTCTGTTATTTAGGCTCAGGATAGCCATGTAGAACAGTAGTTCAGAATGATGACAATTTTATTTGCGATAAACAAACTCAAGCATTTGGGGGGTAGTGAGAATTAAGACAACTCACAGCAACATTAGATACTCTCACTGTTAAAAGTTATGCATTTTGTCTTGCTTGAGCTTTCACCCCTGCCTTGAGTTAGTGTAAAGTTTGGGCAAAGTCCTGTAGAATTTCAGTCCACCTCTGCACACCTATTCACAGATAAGTCCTCTCTTAAACCTTTCTGCAAAAGTAGATCAAAGTGTTTAAGGTTTTCCTAGCTATTATGTATCCAAGAAACTGGCTGAAGGCACAGGCCAGCACTGGACACCAGGTTCAATAAGTCCTAGCAGGGCTCTGTGTTGAGCCTCCTCTGTATTTCTGTAGATGATCCAGTTGCACTTAAAAGAATCATATAAATTCTCTTTGCATCTGTATTATCTTTATTCATCGGGGTTTTATACAGCAAATGTAGGCCACAGAATGAATTTACTGGTAGTGAATTGCTGCCCTACATCTTCGAACAAAAGTGTTCACTGAAGTAACCTGTGAACACCAGTGATAGACATTTAACATTTCTCATTAGATTTTGAAAGAAACTTACTTTAAAAATTATCTTCTATGAAAGCTCTTATTTAATTTAAAAAAACCAAGAATAGATGGTGACAAATCACATTAGGTATTTAATTTTACTGACATCATATAGTAGCAGCAGAGAAGCATCATATAACTACAACACGAAGCTGTGTGTCTGCCAACATCGTATTAGTTTCTGCTTCTAAGTCTGCACCTGTTTAATTTCCTTCATTCACTGAAGTATGATTCACCATTCTCACAGACAGGTGAATGATACAAATTACACTCATTTTAACTCACACAAAGGTGTGAGAAAAGATTCCTTGCATTTTCTTAAGTTAGCTCAGCAACAAGGGATCACTGGGAAAAAACCTCACATTAAAAACCATTGCTGTTGTAGCATGTCTGAAAACAGGAATACGTAGAAAAGCTAGGAGGGTCATAATGAAAATTAAGACAAAAACAAAGCAAAGTGCTCTGACACCAAGAATGCCTCTCCCAGACAAGAAGTGACAGGACAAGAGGAAACAGCCTCAAGCTGTGCCAGGGGAGGTTCAGGTTGGACATTAGGAGGAATTTCTTCATGGAAAGGGTTGTCAGGCATTGGAAGGGGCTGCCCAGGGAGGTTGTGGAGTCACCATCCCTAGAGGTGTTCAAGAAATGACTGGCCATGGCACTCAGTGCTCTGCTCTAGTTGACAAGGTGGTGATCGGTCACAGGTTGGACTTGATGACCTTGGAGGTCTTTTCCAACCTTAATGATTCTGTGATACTCCCTCCATACATTACTGTTCAGAGTACAGAGAAAAAGCACAAAAATAAATAGGTATTTATATAGAGCAGTGCACTTCCCCCTTGCATTTTGTAGGAGTCAGTATCTGCTACACCATCTGTGTGAGAACTCAAGACATCACTGCAAATATGTATCATCATTCAAGAGAATTTTAACCTAGGAATGTAACCTATCAGCTGTGATCATGGAAGTTTTTAGGCAAAGATCATCATCACTCTCACTCCTTTCAGACTGCATTTGCATTAGTCTTCAGATTTACAGCAGCCACACTAATTAATTCTGGCTATATCCAAGAAAAACCGCCATAAGGTATGTCACAGGCTACAGGGGGTCTCTAAGACACTCTTTAAATAGCTTTTAAAAATAGGGAAGAGACTGTTCATAGAATATTTTTACCAGTTTATACCTCTCATAGCAGTAAAGTATTAATTATCTTTTAAAAGTCAACATACAGTGCCCTTGCACGGCTTTAAGCAGTGTGCCACACAGCACTACTGCTTCACTGCAAATCCAACCCCAAAGGAGGGTAGCTTCCCCACCTCTAGAAAACAGATTTTAATACTGCAGCCACTAAAAAAAAAAAAAAAAACAAACCAAAAGAAGGTGAAAAAACCCCATAGTCTCCCAGCAATTGAGATAATTTTGAACTACAATAAACTTAAAATAATATAAGCAGCAAATACAATGCAAATATGTAGAACTGGTTTTTGCATCAATTCTTCACTTCTTCTGAAGTGCCCATCAGAATCAAAGAAGAAACAGACAGTTTGCCCAAATTATCTGCAGGAAAGCACACAACAAAGAGTGCATGTGGAATATTACTCATTAGAAAACAGCTTTGAAAATCAGTTTGCTTCAGTTCTATTTTAGACTACAATACAGAATCTGATAGAGTAGTGAAGACTACAAAGCAATTAAAAACCTTGTTACTTTACCTCTTAAACACGCAGGAAATGCCCAGCTTCCTCAGAAACTGAAGCCAGTTTAGTGTGTTCTGCAATACAGTTACTAGAAAGCTTATTTCTTGCACACTTGCATCAGTAAATATCAGAACACTCCAGTGAAAGTCATCATCCTCCCTGTGCAGCCAGAGAGGCCATGCTCTACCCTAAGTACTGAACACCTGCAGTGAAGCCATGAGCAAAGGTCCTGCCTGGTGGGTGAGCTCAGTGCTGCAGGACACAATGCCACCAGCTGCCCAGGGAGCAACGCAGTAACTCCTGACACTCGGTTCAGAACAGCTTTACTAATTCAGACTTTTGTCTAACAAAAATTTAAAAGGATTTATTTTTACCTCACCAAGGTCCACAACATGACGAACAGAAAACCACTTCAAAGAGTGGATGATTTTAATATCAAAATACAACCAATTTATTTATATGTATGTACATATATGCACATGCATGCATAGACACATTCCAATACCAGTAACGCTACAAACCCATTCTCAGTGGTTAGCATGGTGCAGCAGGGAAATTGTTGAAATTGCATATTTAGCATTTTTATAGGGGGAAAAAAAAAAAAAGGGAGCCTCCTATTTGAACAAATATCCAAAGCAAGCAGATGTAAAACTGAAGTCCAAGGGCCACCTTCATCAGTTTCTAACTGTTTTCCTCACAACTGCTTGCCTGTGTGAAGTGATTGAAAGAGTAAAAATGAAACAACCATCAATGCATAAAAAATGGTTCACTTAACAATTAGAAACCTCAATAGAAATAATCTCTAAATTTTGGCTCTAGAAATTAAATTACTACAAAAGAAGTTACAAGTATGTATTTATTTCTGAATGCAGAAAAAAAGTCACTAGGAGGCAAACTGGAGACAAGCCAAGATCAAAAGGTCCTTTCCAACTCAAACTATTCTGTAAGTCTATGATTCCAATACTGACGAAAGTATTCTGTCAGATAAATAAAACAAAGGGACATGTTGGTGATATGTACACTTCAAATCAGCAAGATCTTACAAGTAAAAATGATCAAAAACTTTTATTTTATGCACAAATTTCATAATATCCCCATTATGTAATGCTAAATAGTCACATCTGAATATCTGACAACTTTGAGACGTATGCTTTGAGAAGCCACTACAATTATAAAAAAACACCAGCTTATATTTTGAGACTCAGGATATATATATAGGCAGAACTTTCACAAGTGGGGAGTGAGAGGAGGGGGAGAGGACCCTTGAACCTCCTGCTATCACAATATTATTTACTACCAAGGTAATACTTCATCACCATTGTGCATTTTAATCCATCTACTTTTCTTTTTTTTTTTTTTAAGGCTTAGTCATTCTTCAGCAAATCATAACTTTTTGGCTTCGATGTTTCTTTTAGGCAATGAAGTAACTATATTCTCTAGATATCAGCAACATTTTTTGCAGTAGATTTACAGTAGCTGTGAAGAGCCCTTTTCATAGTATTTTTCCAACCCATTACCTGGGACAGACGGAACAGTTTGTGGCTGTCCCTAGACAGGCGATGAAGCACAGTCACATTCTGACACAGATGTTGAGGATTCTTTATCGACTGCAGTGCAGTTAATCCTATACCACCTGGTTTTCCCTTGGCGACCAGGCTCTCCTATGTCAATGTTTCTGAGACTGTTCTGGCGTGTTCCAAATTCACTCTCAAATATGATTTATTCTAGACCAAAACCAAATTTGCATGCCGTGCACATCTGCGGGGATTTGGAAAGACCTTTGCATTAAAGAGATCGGGTTTTCACTTAGGATTTCCACTTCCTCTGACGGAACAGTAGCGGCTGAAGGGTCCCAAATGTCCCAGCAATGAACACGTCCCCGAAGGGGCCGGGGATGTGACGCCTCGCCCGAGGTAAGAGCAGACCCGACACACGCGCGCCCGACCCGCTCTCTCCGCGGCAAAGCTGCACCGGAGACACCGACTCGGGTGACGCGACAGCCCCCGGCGAAGCGCGGCCGGGCCAGAGCAGCCCCGGCGGAGCCGCTGCCGCCGCTCCGGGCGGCCGAGCCGAGCCGAGCCCCGGCCCGCGGCCGCCGCTCCCGCGGGGCCTGTCAGGTGCCGGGACCCCCTCCCCGAGCACGACTCCGTCCCGCCCGGGAGCGCCGCGCCCGCCGCTCACCTGGGGCTGTCGGGGGCTCTCACATGGCGGGTCCCCGGCCGGCCCGGCCCGTTCCCACCGCCGCTTCCCGCCCGCTCCCGCAGCCACTCGCACCCGGAACTGATTCCGCTGGCGGCCGTTCCGCTTCCTGGTGCCGCCCCGGCAGCGGGCGGAGCCCCGGGGCCGTCCGGGAGCCCGCCCGCGGCGCTTCCCGGGGCCGGGCGGAGCCGCCTTCCTGGCGCGGCGCCCCAGGGAGGTAGAAGGGTTCGAGCTGTGGCTGAATCCGGCGTGAATACGGGTAGAGCCGCTCCGAACTCCCACGGGGCAGCTCCAGAGGACAAACGCGCTCAGAACCCCACTGGGCCCTTACAGAGGCAGTGAGGAAGCTTTTGAGGGAGAACATCCCCCACCCCAGCTGTAAATTGCCACCTTTATTGAGCAAAGAATTAAGAATTTCACCTGTGTTACACTGTCCCTGTAACTCACACAAATCGCTTCAGCATGCATGCACAGGGATTTTTGTTATCCTGCACATACTTGTCGTTCAGGTAGTGCAACGACTCAGTGTTTTACCAGACAGTTGATGTACTACGATTAAAGTCAGAGTGACTGGTGCAGTAGGTCCTGCTGGGATATCCACCTGGTCTAACTTTGGACACCACATTCTGTCTTCTTAAGGTATGTCTTTCTCTCCCTATAAAAGACAGAACACAGTCTTCAGAAATTAGACATTGAAGCTGATCAGATAAAGCAGCAGCCTGGGGAGCATCCTGATGAGGGCACAAATAATAGAGCTAAAGAACACACACACAAATTGTATTTGTTCACTCACATAGAAGAAACTCGAAAACTTTGGGCTTGTTCTTACATGCATTCAGTACGTGTAACCAACAGGAAGAGAAAATTAATTTGCTTGTACCATAGTCCATTTGATTTTGCTGAAAACTGAGGAGCCTGGTATACAAATATTGCCTTCTCCAGGAATTAGCTGAACATGCTTTCAATGAGAGCGAGTTCATTTTTGCTTAGGTAGCAAGCAGCAGCTGGGATGGTTCCACAAGGGCAGAGCAGATGGAGGCTGGACAAAATCAATTGTTCAGGATGAGTATATGAATTTAGTCAGGGAGAGGAGGAATCCTCACAGGAAGATAAGGGAGACTTAGTCTTTAATACTTTTCCCAGTATGAAATTTCTTTCATACTTAGACAAGAAAAAAAAAAATCTATATTTTATCTGTATTTACTTAAGTGTACCAGGAGGTTTTGGAGACATGCAGTTGCTGCTACTCTGTCTGTGTGTTTTGGAATTTCCCTATCAGCATGTACATTCTGTATTGTAACTTCAGAGATCACCATTCTGCAAAATACAGTTATGACAAAACCTCTTTGATGAATCTGAACTAGCATGGAAACTAATTACCTAAAGCAACAAGGAAATAGGTCCAATTCTACAAATTCATCAAACTTACTGTGTTATAAAAATCAGGTTTTAGTTTAGTTTTTAATTAGACCAGGCTGGCATGTTCTCAATATTTCAAGAAGACACATTACCAGATACTTTTTCTTTATATATTTAATAAAGTTATATATCAACAACTTTTGAATTTGTACTTTTCTTTGAGCACTTATTTTGGCAAAGTGAAATATTAAATACTAGTACTAGACATGCATTCCTTTCAGTCAAGCTTAAGAAAACATTTACAAAGTTGACAGATAACGTTTATTAAAACATGTTATACGAAAAAGGGGCATGGGACTCTTCTATAAGAAGAAAATATTGAACAGTAACATTAAATTAAAACCATGCTGTACAATTAGGACAGCAATATTTATAGACAAAACTATCCAACCTCTGCAATACAGGCATAACATCTCACAAAATATCAAGTTATGCAAATTTACTATTATAAATGACTTGTTTAGAATAAAAACTTATAGCTCATTAAGGAAAATTCACTTGCATAAACAGTTACATTTCTGAAAGAAATATGGAATCCCATGAATAATAAAAAAAGAGCAGCAATTGACAGACACAGGCTTCAAGCAAAAATCAGAACTTACAATTTAATCACATTAAAAATATACCATTTTCTTTTCCAGCATCTTCCCCTAGGGCACTGACAATTTACAGCTAATAGCTAAAGAAGCCAAGCTATCCAATGAAGCAACTAAATGACAAAAAACCAACTTTCATTTATTGTTTTGAGAAAGGTCCTAATTCTGTTAAAGCAAAATACTCAATATACTTCTGTAGGTCTCATAATTCAGACAGGTCACCTTGCTGGCACAAAGCGAAAGGGTTGAGATTACAAACCCTGATGTGCCTCCATTCTTTCAGGCTCAATAATACAAGGACGTCAAGGATTCTTTTTATAATGAGAAACACAGTACGTCAGCCTTTGATCATCTGCCTTGCTCATGATACAGAACAGTTTCTCAACTTCAGACACACCTCAGATGAAAAAAGCTGAGACCAAAAACTGTACTGACAGTACCTTCTAGAGTCTACCTGCTCACTCATAAAACAAAGAAGGTAAAGTTTAAAAAATGAAACAACAAAAAAACACACCCCAAAACAACAGTGGTATCTGAAATAAAAGAACCTCCTACGTCAAAAGGGCTTGATATACACCTAAGCAACCCTGCTAACAGTTGAATTTTTCAGAATGGCAGTTACACAGATTCCATGGTAATTAACATCTGAGTTACAAAATGGAATGAAAAGGAACTTAGCTGTAGTATCATCAAGTATTCTTACCACTGCTAGGACAATGAATGGCTTCACAGCAGCAGGAAATTCTGAAAGCCTCCTGTGTGTACAATGATGCTGGTTTTCAGAAGACACTTTACTACAGCCAAAAGCCACATTATTGAAGGTAATGAAGCATAAGAGAAGATTAATGAAATTCATTGTATACATATGCATTCATATTTTATATATATATATATATATGGATCACTTCCCTCCTCCCCACAAACAAGAAATAATTTTTTGTACCTTGAACGAGACCACTCCATTAGCAAAGATTAAGAGCCTGACAGAAGCCTTGTCTGCGTATCTTGGCTATGTAGAACTGCAGTGGCACCAGTGGCAGGGGCTGCAGGGGGGATGAGTGGCCAGAGCTTCTGAGCTGCCCTGTGCTAGTCAAGTGGGGTTCAGCCTGCACCAAAACAGATGTGGACAATCCACGGCATGCCAAAATCTCAACCAGAGGTGTGCATGTTGCCTCTGTTTAAACATATTTAAGGAAGAGTGGCAGCTGCTAGCAAGAGGTGCAGGGAGACACATATAGAGAATATACTCCTGGGGACATGTGGAGAAACTGAAGAGCTGCTCTTGGGAAAATACCTGGAGAAGTCACTGAGGATATGTATAGACATACTCACAGAAGGACACGCTCTGTGTCTGAGATTTACTTTTGAGAGGACTTTGGCCTACAGCTAAGCCATGCCAGAGCAGTACACCTCTGAAGTAACTCAGGCCCACAGGAGAGCCAGACTGGAACAGACCCATCCCTGAAGGAACTGTGGCCCGGCGTCACCATGACCAGTGACACTAACCAGCCCAGAGCACCAGAGGACACCCACTAAGAAATGAAGAGCATCAGACAAGGCAGTGTGCATACGAGCCCAACCTCCTGCGTGACCCTCACCTCACTAAAGGAAATGGCAGGAAATGCAACTCTTGGTGAAAACAAGGAAAACTGAGACTACAAAGGCAGGGAGGAGAGGTGTTAGACTTAAGCTGAACCTGAAGCAGGGAGAGGAAAGATTTTTTTTAAGTGTTTAAGTAATTTTTTGTCATTTGTTCCCCCCAATACCTGAAATGGCGATTAGAAGTTTGTCAAAGGGCAATACATTGAACTCAGGAAAAACACCACAAGACAACTGCTTCACCTGTGCCATGCAAAAGTAAGGATTTTAGACATGTATCTCAAGCTGCCCTTAAATCATTGAACCTCTCAACTTGATCTCATGACAATCAGATCAGTATTTTCCTGCAATCAATTGGTTTCATGTAAATTAACATCAGCCAAGTGCTTCAAGATCAGTGGAGCAACATTTGTTGGACTTTTAAGACAATGCCATAATATGGGGTAAAACAGCTATAGGCAAATACTAAAAGGTTACTATGCATGCTAAGTCATTAAAAAAGGACATGGTTCCATAATATGATCTACTGGACCTGTTATAAAACCTTTAAAGTGTCTCTCGCAGTACAATTTATTTTAAAGCTTTATTTCAAAGTAATCTAACTGCAAATAGAAGTAATGTTTAACCTTGAAATATCCCATATAAAAGTCATTCCAAGCTGGTAAAAGAAACAGTTTTGCTGGCAGCTCTGTGGGATGGTCTGGGTTTGACAGACATATTTTTTGCTTGACCATGGTTTTCAGACTGGTGTTTCTGTCCAGCCTTTTTTAATGGTTAAATGGGAAGAGGCACTCTTAACCTTTTTATGCAAAACTAAAGTGACAATTTCAAAGGGGCTGAGAACTAATGTAATATACAAGATCATTCTTGAAATGAGTATGTGAAGGAACACCCTGGATGTATTCAAGGCCAGGTTGGATGGGGCTCTGAGCAACCTGGTCTAGTTGAAGGTGTCCCTGCCCACAGCAGGGACACTGGAACTAGATGATCCTCAAGGTCCCCTTCCAACCCAAACCATTCTATGATTGTGTGATTCTAATGCCTTCTCTCAAACGTGATGATGGTACTTGCAGAAATGACACCCTATATGTGGTAAGGCCTTCGAGAATGGAAAAATAGGGCCACAGAGTGCAAGAACCCTTTCCACTACACTCATGTAAACAGGCAAGCATTATAATTTTTTTTAAAATATTAAAAAAGACAGTGTTAGCAGTGTGGAAACAAACCATAAGGGGAATATAATTTCTAAGTTTAAAAAACATACTTATAAAGTTTTATGGTTTGTTTTTTTTTTTTGTTTAAATACAAAGTGCTTCTATACATTAAGCAGGCTACAGTGTTAGTGAGCAAAATCCCTGTTTCGGTACCTTGATCACAAGGGTTATACCTGGCTGCCATAATATTTGTAGAGTTCAATTAAGTGCGAAGAACAGGAACTCTGTGGTGCTGACCATTCGTGCCCATTGCCAGCAATGGGTTCATTGTATTTGGGAATATCTGTTTTAACAAAACTCCATATGAAAAATATCTGAAGCATTAGAAGATTAAGAATTAAGAGCCTCTTAAAAAAATTAAAGTTTGTAAGTAGAATGCCAGTAAAGAAATTACAGTAATTACAGCCCACTGAGTAGTAAACTCTCAGCTCATAGCAGACATTCATGTTCAGGATACAGTTCAGTTGCATCCTAAGACAGTTTTTAACTGGGAGTTAAAAAAGAAACTGCAAAAAAGAAACTGAAGAGTAATAATCTTTGTGTGGTTTTGCTTCACTATACAGGGTCATCTGTTTCAGTACATTATCCTGCACACTGCAGTGCCTAATACAGAAACTGGGGCCGCGCAGGCTCGGGCCTTCAATGCTGGTTAATATTTTTCCTATGTTATCAGCACTGTACTTGGACATCACCTCTTTCTATTATAGCCTATGTATGCTCTAAAGGCTCTTTCCTTTTTATGTTTCAGTAAGCTACTGAGAAGGGTTAATTGCTTTTGCATTGGACTGCATTAAGCTTTCAACCCAAAAATCCTGTTGTCACCTTTACAACTCATGCCTTCCCTCTCCCTTCAGAGCTGGCAGCATCTCTCAGAACTGTACACACTCCTCCATCCATCTCCACAAACGAGAGCCCCACACATAGATCCTAATCCTAACAAAGAACAAGTGCCACTTTCCCAGCAAGAATCCCAACTTCAGACATAAGCATGGTACCATGTTCTGCAGTACCATTAGAAGATCCAAATCACATACTTCCTACTTTTTTTCACAAGCAACTTCATTTGAAGAGGTAAACAACTCTGCTCATGATCACGCCTAACCAGTCACAGTAGTTTAGTACCAAGAATCTATATTATAGTTCTTACTATAATAAAGAATTATAGAGTAAAGAATTAGAAGTATAAATACCTACCAATGACTACATAATTTTCCTAAGGCAGGTTTCAAAAACTAGATAAAAGTTCTCAAAGAAGTTTTTGTACCAATAAAAAGTCAGTTCATGAACCCAGTTTGGTACTTGCTACTGTAGTAAGTAACAAAAATTTGAACAAAAACCTACAGTTTAAATATATATGGTTACTTTGAGTAAGTTCCAAATGTTACATATTATTTTTTTTCATACTTATTACACACACTTCTAAAAGCTCTCACGATGTAGCAATTAAAATCTAATGAAGTCAAGAGTCATACAGCATTAGACCCTAGAGGAGCAAGGACAAATTATACTTAATACATATTGAAGTTTATATATTGATAAACTACATTTAAGTGCTTTACAGACTTTAAATAAAAATTAGCACAAAATTAGACAATTGTTTTACTGAAGATAGATTAAAAAAATGGAAGACAGATAAAGGAAAGCCAAAGCACCTTTACCACTGCCTTGCATTCAGCAATACAGCAAAGGCTACTGAATGACGCAGACTATCTAATGATGCATGGGAAGTACGTTGGAGTCTTCAGTTTGAGGTGAAATTCTAATTATTTTTTTTTTTCATTAAAATGTGAATCATATAACCCAGTTTGGTCATCTTAGTTTTCTATTAAGTAGTGCTACCTGGATTCCCACTTCATCTAAGTATTTTCAGGATTTTTGTCAATTTAGAGCTGAGTTTTACTGTGAATTTAGATGACTTAGAAATACAAGAGGGCTTCTAAATACTGCTGTGATTACCATCAACGTCAAGACTCCTTTTACAAGCACCTTTCAGATTAACCATTTGCACTTCACACACTGAACACCTGGAGTAATACTGCAGAAAGCAAAATATGTTTGATCTGTTTATACCAGCATAATCACTAAAACTTGTTTTTTGAGAATGTACAATAGCAAGTACCAGACATTATTTGCATAATTAGTTTATTTTTCTTACTCTATTAGATAAGTGTAAGCACTAATGTCTTAGTTCATCTCAGTAGTACTCTGCTCAGCTTTACAAGCTTGATAGGACTTGGTACAAGAAGTCACATGGCGATGAAAACTGTCCCGCCACATAAATCTTTTCCCACAGATGTTACATTCGTATGGTTTGATGCCTGTATGAATTTTCATATGGCCTACAAGATGGTGTTTCATTTTGAATTTCTTACCACAGACACCACAGCCATAAGGTCGAAGACCGAGGTGCATGCTCATATGCCGATCTCTCTGACTTTTGTGTGTAAAACTTTTTCCACACTGACAAGGATAGAGCTTATCAGCATGGGAGAATCCAGTGAGAGATGTTTCTTCTTTAATCCCGGCAGCCATATCAATGCCCTCACCATAGCCTGCTGCTATCATAAGATCCTGTCTGTGAGCACTTAAATTTCCCTCTGCCCTTTCACCAGAAAATTCTTCCATGGACGAGCCATAGAAGTCAACTTGTTCATCATAATTACTTTCATCTGCATGTTCATCAAATTCTGTTTCCATCTTTTTGTCACCTATGTGAAAGTCTTCAACACCCGAAGACTGGATTGAATGATCTGCTTGAATCGCATTCATGGATTCAGAAACTTGGTGTTCATCATAAGGATTATCAACTCCTTCACAGTCCTGTTCAAACCTTTCAGGTTTCACATGGATCCACCGCTTGTGAGACATGATGCTGGGTTTGCTATACATTGGTCTGGTATACTGGTACTCTGCACTATCACTAGTTCCTTCTTCCCCATCCTGACTGGTCATTCCAGTGCTAAGTCTATCATGTTCTGTTGAAGAATTACTGGGAAGGTACTCGTGTTCTGTCAGCTGACACGACAGCTCATCTTTAGAGATTTCTTCTTCATTTTCGCCATCCCTTAGTTCCTGCACTTTGTGGAATTCTGTCTGTCCTCCAGAGCCAAGTTCAAAGGTTTCAACAAGGCCATTGTAATTACTACTGCTTGGGGACTGATGGTCACTGCCATGATTCATCTTCTGACACAGAACTGTTGGGTTCCCCTCTAGCACTTCAGTGCATTTATCCACTACATGCCACATCTGAAGGAAACTTGCTGCTGTCAGATAACTGACGATTTCTGGTGCAGGCATTACCAGCCGGCCTGTGTAGGTAGACAGAAGAATGTTTTCAAATACTCTGGGATTCATCACATCAGGCAGGACTATTCGCCTGCTGTTTTTTAGGAGAACCTGATCACAGAAGTAAGGTGAACTAGCTGCAAGAACAGCTTTATGGGCTCTGAAGAGGTGGCCCTGAACCACAATGGACACATCACATAATTGTCCTTGCTGGCGCTGTTGGTTCAACTTCTGCAAAATGGTGCTAGAAAAATCTGGAAATTCCACTCGAAATGAGCTTGACCCAGACTCCATTTCATTACAAATTAAGTGTTGTGCTGCAAGTGAAAAAAAAATAAAAATCAGAAATTCTGCTTAGTCAATTACTGACCTTTCCATTTCCACCTAAACTTTTTCTTTAACAGACTCACGTGGAACTCAACCCAACATCTTCCGGAACCTTATGTCACTGCTGTACTTGTATTTCTCCCACTCCACCTCATTTCTCTCTCTTCTGAAAGCCATACTGAGGCCACAAATTGCTATGCCAGCACATTTTATTGTGTTTCTTCTCTCCAAGAGGACTCATCCACTACAGCAGGAGATACAAACAGCATGTTACCCAGTTGGGATAGACTAAGCATTTCAAGCATGAGTTTTGGATAACAAACCAGTTATTTCATGAAATTATAGCAGTAGTGCTCTAATTCCAGGATATCTCAGAGTTTGTAACAGCATATGAAAGATTCTGTATTTCAACTGCCAACAAAATAACCTCCTTGTTCCCCCAATAAACACTGATTGTACTCACGAAATATTTCACTTCAGATGAAGTTTTCAAAAGCGACTGTATCAACTCACCCCATGACAACAGCAGCACAGGCAGAACCCCACTGAAAATGATGCTTATGACCCTTCTCGTGACATTTGCCTGTCATTTCATTAACTGGAAGGTAGAACAGCAACAGCTTGTACAGCTGCAGGACTATAATCCAATTTTTAATTCCGAGCCTATCGAGATGTTATTATAACATTACTTTCAGAAAAATCTTACAGAATTTAAAATGTCAATCAGGAAATTGATATTCTGCTGTACAGAACTTTTCCTGCCTGAAATGTGAATATTAGTAACAACACAATAACGACGTGCCAGAACCTCAGCTAAGAGCTCCCAGATTTTCACATCTGTGTTTCCACATCATCCAGACATCTCACTACAAAGTCCCTCAAGCAGCAATACAACTTTCTAAAAAGCATGATTGAACTTTTTAATTGAATTTGAGATAAGTTTGCATGCTACTATCATTAGAAACTACAGAAATTTAAATCCAACCATGAAAGACCAACATTACCTCCTTTAACTTGTGCCATTTTCAATTTGATAATGAGAAGATTGAAGGCAGTGGGATTCCCAAAGAGCCACAGGGCAGCAAGTGGTATCCTCTGCCTAGTTATGTGAAGTTGCCACCCACACAATTGCAGACCACCCTTAAATCTACTGTCATCAGCACTCCTCAGTTTTTCTCCTCAAAGTACCAACCAGGAGACCAAATCAGCTACCAATACTTTTCCAGGGAGCAATGGAATTCCGTGCCTGCCAGTTCAATTGTTTATTTTTCTTACCAATTTGCTTAAAATAACTTGACATAATTATTTAAGTACTTTGAGTTACCTTATACCTTGTGTACATTATGCCTACTTTTTTTAAACAATCAGATTTTTTTATACAGATGTAGGTCCTTACCTCCCTTTAGAATACTCTCAGATTTCAGATTCTATTTTTCAACACTAGCCTATAAAAAAGATAAGCCTTCAGGACATGTTCAACTGAAATTTAAAGCCAGTTGACCATGTAGAATTCATATATAATTCTGTATATATGCCTGTAGATGCCTGTAGAATTTATATATAATTCCTGCTAATCTACACTGCCAACTTTCACCAAGGACTCAGCATGTGACCAGAGAAAAAAAATCCAGGTGGTAGCAGACTTTCATGCATTTTAAGGTCTCATAAAAACAAAATGTAAGGAAAATATTTTCTATTAGCAAAGCTATAAACATCAGGAAAATTTCAGTTTTCAAAAGGGGTTCCACTTCCTCCTTCTACAACCTGTTCTTTTTCTGCATTTTGTTTACCCCAAACTCATAAAGTCCTTCTATTTCAACTAATAATAAAAAAATTAGTCTCCATGCTGCAGGGTTGAGTGAAACATACAAGGCACATATTAGTTGTTTTAAAATAACGTTACTTCTAAGAAGTGCGGGCAGGGAGTTCCTTCCCCTCTGCACACACAGACACCGATCTCTCACCCTCCTAACGCCCCCGCGCGGGGCCCGGCTCCAGCCCGCGGGCCCGGACAGGCCCCGGCATCCCGCGTGGCCCTGCCGATCGGCTCGGCCCGGGGCGGCCCCCGCGCCCCGGAGCGAGCGGGACCCGCGGCCGCGGAGGGCAGGAAGGCCTCGCGCGCCACCCCACCCCAGAGTGGGCCTGCGGGGCGGGCCCGGCGACAGCGCGGCCTCCTGGTGGCCGCGAGAGGCAGCATCTCACCTACGGGCTGCGGCGTCTCTCGCATAGCGGGCGGTGCGGCCCCGACGCTCGGTGCGGCCCCGTCCCTGCCCGCGCCCAGCCCGGCCCGCGCCGGAAGCGGCTCCCCCTCTTCCGGTGGGCACTTCCGCGTTCCGGTCACGTGACAGCAGGACACTCATCCTGATCGCCCCGGGGCTGCCGCGGCGCCCCCTGGTGGAGCCGCGGGGGCTCGCAGGGGTCTTACAGACCCACTGGGCCGGGCCGGGCCGGGCCGGGCCGGGCCGGACCGGACCGGGCCGGACCGGGCCGGACCGGGCCGAGCTCTCCCTCCCCTCCCCTCCCCTCCTCTCCTCTGCCTTTGCTCCGCAGCTGCTACCCAGGGTGATACGTTCAGCGCTGCTGTGGGCACTGCCAGGACGGGACCACCAGACAGTACGGCTGGAGCCCGCTGTCCGCGCCGGGGGCTGGCTCGGCCCGCGTGTCCCGCACAGACCCTGATGTGCTCCTGCGCCGGGACTGTCCTGCAGCCGAACCGCTCTCGTGGCCACGCTCCCCCCACCCCCGTGACCCCGCTCGGGCCCGCCTGCAGGGGGCGCTGCTCCCCGCCCAGGCCCGTCCCGCGCCCGTGGCTGCTGGCCGAAGACTCCCCCAATCAAAACCATACAAATTTAGTAATAAATCTGTTTAAGCTTTAATTATTTTTTTTTAAAGGAAAACTGGCGATAATAGCTTGGGGTTTGAATTCGTCACAAAGACTTCAACCGGCCCGGCTCCCCCCGGCTCGCAGAGCCCCCGGCTGCGGCCTCTGCAGGGCTCCGACCTACAGCCCGCGAGGCGGAGCCGCCCCGGCCCGCGGCCCCCGCCGGGAGAGAACTGCGCCCGAGCCAAAGCCACAGAGGGTTTGTGTGGCTGAGCATGGGCAAGGGAACACGCTAAAATCCAGGGGGAGGAGGGAGAGCATCCCATGCCACGGGAGCTAAGGGAGTTCTCTGAGACAGAAGCCACCTCTGCTTTAGCAAGTGCTGTGTTTGAACAGAATTTGGTCTGTGTGTATTTTCAAGTCTGGTAGTGCATAGTGCTGGATTAAGTCCATATCCTTCCTGCATTAATGGGAAGCCTAATAAAAACTTTAATACAAACATGAGAAAGCCAATTTTTAATACAACACAATTATCTCATTGTTTTATAGCCGTTATGAGAATACACTAGCAAATTAAGCACCACATAAGAATGATAAGCAGTAAAACAAGGAAGTTTTGAGAGATTAAATAGTACACAGCTAACTGAAGTGTATGTTTTGATCTGTGTGGAGAACACTGTGATCCCACAGTTAAAAGTGCAAAGTGTTGCAAAAAGTGAATAAAGATCCATAGAGCAATGTGAAAGAAACAACAGAAGAGAACTCAGCCTGATTGCCAGTAGCATAAACAGCAGGAGCTGCCCTGGCAGCCTTTGTTGCACATTCAAGAGACGAGAGGAGAGAGGGTTCAGTTGCTCCACGTGCGGGGATTCAAGTACTCCCTGTTGGTAGGAGCTGTTCAGGTACAGCCTCATAAGAGTCATCTAATGTCCACTGGAACTGATTGCATAAAATACTTTTGTAGGGACATATTGTGGAGTTTCTCTCCAGACCACCACAGTATTAACTCTGCACCTTGCCTGACCTGCCAGGTAGCTTTGCTAAGCATCTGGATAGGAAAGCAATCATGTACTTTTTAAATGGGAGATTTCTGTAAAGAGTCAAAACACACACACAATTGATACCTGACTCAATAAGATCCATCCTCTGGCTGTGACAGCACCACGATTCCCCAGCAAGAAGCCCACACCAGCAAATCTCACAACTTAGAAGATATCCTGACTAATGCCAGGTTCATACTGCAAACTGGGGCCTCAGTGAGAGTCTTAAAATCTGCTGCTACCTTCTCTGATAAATTAGTCAGGTGATGATGATTATACACCTGCCAGAATCCTCTCTCCTCCTTGCCTTGAAACGGCCTCAGCCTCTGCAGTGTCTAGAAGTCAGCTGCAATAGGAAGCACCTGGTACAGCTCTGAACTAAGGAGTAGAATTCTGAAATCATGGTCAAGAATTACAAATCAAACCCACATTTTCTTCCTCATAATTTTGGAAGTTACTAAATTCTTTTCTTTTAATTTTTTTACTTTATTTCTACATTTATGTAATACAGAATCTTAAAGAGGATTAAAAATAAAGCATTGTCCTCTGTCCCACCTGATCCTTTGCCAGTCAGGAAGTCTTGCATTTTCTTCAGGTTTAAAGAATGCATGCTACATTGCTTCTTTTCCTAACACTCTCAGTGAAAGATTTGGAATATTATATAGGCTCAGCATTTATACTGAAATAGCACTGGCAGTCCCCATCAGAGTCAGGATCCCATAGAGCTGAATAATGAACAAACAAAGGACGTTACTGCCCAAATATTTGTTGAAAAAGAGACGTGAGACGTGGCAGCTGGCTGCGGCACACTCGGTGGATGGAATAAGTGCGAGAAAGGCATTGTGGTGTGAGTAATATATGATTATTATTTGAAATACAGAAAAAATCATTCTATATAGTTAAGAGACAGAGAGCACTCCTTATGTTAGCATCAGAGATGTGCTGTGAATTTCAGTAATTATTTACTTTTCAGGATTTTGTGAATTAACAGCTACTTTTGCTACATTTTCCTGCTTTCCTAATCCTGCATTTTCTTCAGAAAAAAAATCTTGTTTTTAAAGATAAAATCTGTCTCAATGCCAGTTATGATTAACCATGAGCATGGCCTGAAAAGCATTTTGGATTTCCTTCATGATTAATTCTGCAGTTTCCATGTGATAACACTGACTGCTGGAGCAGAGCTGCAAGGTCAAGGCTAGTTTACGAAATCAAAATTTCTATTTTACATAGGAAACAAATGGAAACAGCATTAACTAATTTTTGTTTTATTTTTTCTTGAGTTTATAAAAGTTGGATCAAATTAACGAATATAAGCAAGGATATTACCATTTTTGGCACTTTCTGGTGTTTCTAGACACCTGTAAATAATGAAGCTTCAGTTCGGGATCTACAGCCACAACAAAACATTAAAACCCTCGTGAATCAAAACCAAGTGCTAGATTTTTGGTGTCTATTACTAGCATGTACAAGTTTAATTTGCATTTTAATTGCAGCACAAACAGAGGCCCAGAGGCTAGTGGTTGTTATAAACAGCATTAAAATAGGAATATTAGAATTGTAGAGTATTACACAAAAATGCAGCTTCAATTAGTGAGATGTTTGTGTTAAGAGGTCCAACTGAAGAGCACTGCTCATAGCCCGGGGCACTGCAGTTTGCAGACTTGAGAGCATATATTTGGCCTCCCTCCTCTCTCCTGATTTTGGTGGACATGGTGCTAATACTGTTCTTATCTTTTGGAAGCCGGATGTTTAATAAATACATATGCAACCCATCCAGATTAGTTTCGATGTGGATATTTTTGGTAGCTGGTTTTGTTTTCCCTGGTGCTCACTGGGTGCACTAAGAAGACAAGCAGCAGGATGCTGACTGAAAAGCTGGTTGGCAACTCAACTTGGCCTCTTTCTCTTACCAAGAGTCTTCTGCAGAGATAAAATAACTGGCCCAATTTACAGACTGATTATTCCTTTGTTACCAGTTGCATGGACTGTGCAGGTGGTTCATAAGCTTATCTCTCTCCATGTTTTTTTAAGAAGAATTAAGTTAATTTGGAAGAATGCCTGCCTGTTGGTTGTTCCTGCAGGCAGCAGCCTTTTTGAATGTTGCCTGGTTGTTGCTCATGAGCTGAGC